CGGGGCGCCCCCGCTGCTGTGGCGCTTACCCGGCGCGGCTCCTTTGCTGCCGGTCTCTGTCGGCTCTCCGCGGGTCCTGCCCGCCTGGGCTCCGCTCTGGCGTCCTGCTGGGCCGGAGGGGAGCCGCGCTGAGAGCCCCGAGCGCCTCTGGGCAGCGCCACTTACCAGCCTCCTCCCTGACGTCACGCCAGATGCTTATCGCCCCCCCAGGCGCCTCTGGGGCAAGGGCTGCAGCGCGCCCTGCCCCGGGCAGCCCCGCAGCCAAGCCAAGCCCCTGCCTCTGCTCACACCCAGCCCCTCGGCCCCCAGCGCCACGGGGAGCGAGCGCCTGCCCGGGCGAGGCACCGCGTGCTGCTGTGACTGCCCCTGCCCAGCTAGCGCGAAGCCCGGGCGCAGAGTGAGCCGGGTTGCTCCCTGCAGATGTCCCCTAATGCCCTGGCGGCGGCTGGGAGCCCCGCGAACAGACAGATGGGAAGGCGAGGTGCTTATTTAGCCTGCTGGGGGTCCCTGGTGTGGCTTGGGACCGAGCGAGGCTCCTGCAGTTCCTAGGCTCGCCCGCAGCATCCGTGGCACACAGACTCCCGGCACAGCATGCGGATGGTTAGCGCATAAGGGACCTTTCGGGACCCTTCATTAAATCCGCTTGTGCGTAAAACTCAAAAGTTCTCTCGGGACCGGGGTGGGAGTTGGTGTGAAACGGACCCACTTTGGAGTGCGAACTGGGCTGGACGCGTCCTCCTGGAACTGGTTCGGTAAGGCAGGCTGGCATGCGCTCCACTGGGAAGGAGACAACTAACAGACACATGGGCATAGGAAGAATCGTCTATCCCAGGACGTGGGTGTCAGGGCAGGGAAGCTATGCTACAGGATATAGTTAAGTATATCCCAATAGAAGAGGCACATGTTCCCGATTAACTTGGAAGAGTGAGCGAAATACCCTTAATAAGCTTCACACAGAAGATGTGTTTGTTTGTTTTTCGGTAAACCTTTCCAACACTTCAAATTCCCTGCATGCCTGGGAAGACTCAAGACAATCTGCCTCTACAGGCAAAACTTCAGTGTACCCTCTCCCCCTTCCCGTGGAAGACAGCTTTTCAACTGGGAATTGCCCCCTGGGAGGGGATGTCAAACTTGGGGGGGGGGGGAGGGATAGTGCAGCAAGCCTTTTGATGGTTCCCTGGTTATGGCAGAAGTGGGGGGCACACCACTCAGATTTGACCTGGCCACCCCTAGGTGGTAGGTGGGCCAATTCTCAGTGAGTGGCATTGTGACCTGGCTGGCACACAGTGTCACACTCAGGTTTGGCCCAGCTGCCCCTACAGCCCAAAGCAGCCTATAGATAGAGCAGCCTCTGCTGGGAAGGCTATGCAGATCAAATTCCATGGTTTTACTAATTCTTTTCTTAAATACCTTGATCAAGTTGTATGATCTGAGATTAAATAACCCACTTCCCTGGTACATCTGCATGTTTCTTCTCAAACTGCTGCACATATTTACGATAATTAGGAATTTATTTCAATATCCTTTGTATCTTAGAGAAGATGTAAAGGTTGGCAGTCAAAGTTTCATATTATGCAGTTATACAAGCACAGCTGTACATTGGACTGATCAGGCAGCATATGTTAAATAGTTGCATTTTCATATAGCACTGCTGTCTGAGCTGCATAACCTATTCTGCTTTAAAAAAACCCAACTCTACTGGACTTTCATATACTTTGCCAATTATTCTTCACAAGGTATCTGTTTCAAATCAAGTTAATTCAGTGAGAGTCTCCATTGATTTTAATGTGATTTGGATCAGACCCTAGTTGACTTAAACTGATGGCATTATTTCTTAGGCTGTGTTGCACACTTCAGCTGTTTAAGGTTTAAAAAGTTAATTGATCAAGTTGTGCCCCTTTCTGACCAGATGAGTCTTTATAAATTATGCAGATTTTGCTGGAAATTTTGTTGAACAAAATCCTTTGGGTTTTAAGCTTCAGCTGGTGCCTCTATATCAGAGACGTCCTAGCAATACAGTTTAATATTTCAGTGAATGACGTTTCCATCATGGGATGGAAATTTTGCTCATGTAGGTAACTGACGGGAGAAAAATGTATGTGGTCTAAATTGGGCCATCTTGGGCCATCATCCAACTGTCACCGAAGTCAATGAAAATAAATCTAGTTGGTTTCAGTAGTTACGGGTAAATTTTAGTAAAGCATATTATTTACTATACATTCATAGCTTCTTCTAATAATTAATAATAATAGAATAGTGTTCAAAGTGTTCCAGCAATTTTTTTTCTGTCCCTACATAAGTAATTTTAATTTTACACTGATATATTCTACCAGTACCTCCTACATAATTTATATTCTGGTATATGAATGAATTGATATATTCTACTATTAGATCATGAATATCAATAAGTCTTCCTATTATTGTATAAGATGTTGGTGATGTTTTGTGCATATCTGCATGGCTTTCCTAACTAGAAACTCCAGGACTCAGTCACATTTACACTTAGGACTAAAATACTAACCTTCCAACAAGGGGTAATGACTTTCTTCTCTGCCCTCAGGATAAATTAAAGAGCATAATTTATTTTAGTGAGGAGAAAGAGGTTGCTCTCCAATTACTGAATCCCGTTCTGCAAACACACATGCAAGTAACATTACTCATTTGAAAAGTCCCATTGAACTCAGTGGGGAAAGGGAAATATGTGTTATAGGTATTGCGAGTGGCAGAGAATGGCATTAATAACGGATGAATTTTAATGATATGTCAATGGAAATATTACATCAGGAAAAAGAGGAGTTGGGCCTTTTTTGTATTCACAGAATTTCAGAGGACAATTAATCTCTAGCAGCGCTGTCCTACGTACTCTTCAAGTAGACCTGTTCCCCACAGTGTTGCATGTCATATAGATGATAGAGAGAGAAGCAAAGATGCTTCTGTAATAAGCTCTAATGAGACCATGTTATAAACATCTCCAAATAAAAGACATTTCTTCTACTAGAACATTTTCCCCTCTTTCTCTCTCTGCCTTTTCAATGCTGCTCTTCACACTGACAACGTCTGACCACTCAGTTTTGTTAGAGTTTAAATGACAGCCTTTCTCACTCTCCTACTCTCTCCCTGCCTCCAGACAACTAACACTCTGACTGCCAGACACACAATACAAATATATATAAAAGTGGGTATGCCATCATTTTTTATACAAGTGGCTATGGTTGCACATGAGTTACACATATTTGCATGCAACTATGACTACTTGTGCACAGATATTATTATTTATAATTTCTATTGTGGTAATTCCTAGAAGCCAAGCAGGCCAGGGCCCCCCCATGTTCCTCCATGAATATTTGTATCAGTTTAAACCAGATGCTTGAATGTGTTCACTGAAAACCAAGCAAAAAGGAAGATGACAGCCAAGTTGAACTGGCGAGGGGA